ATTTTGGGCATTCTGAGTGATGGCATTTGTATTTTCCAGCCGGAAGCTTCAGTCTCTACGTCAGGAACATCAGCTTCCATTGCTAGCGTCGGGGTTTCCATGCCGATTGCACCCACTTGGCCTTTGACTTTTGGCTTGGGAATGTCAGCTTCCATTTTGGGTAAGCTGATCTCGCCTTCTGGCACTTTGCCTTTTGGAAGTGAAACTCCAAACTTTGGCTTTTCAAATTTAGGCATTTGAATTTTCCCTTCCAAACCGGCAGCTTTCCCCTCTGGTCCCTCCACCGTAATTTCAACTGATGGCTCTTTCGCTTCTATCCCTGGACCCTTCAACTGAATGGAACCTTCTATTTTGGGAATCTTGACTCCAGGTGCTGAGATTTTGACATCTCCGGGAACAGAGGCTGCCTTGAGGTCAGCTTCCTGAAGACTGACATCACACGTGGGAAGTGTGACATCGACTTTGGGTAAAGCAACATCCACGTCTACTTTGGGAGCTTTAGTTTTTGGTTTAGAAAATCCTATAGAAGGCATCTTGACTTTTGGCATGTGTATTTTCATCCCTGTTGCCTCTGCTTTCCCCGTCTCAACTTCAATACTGCTTTCCATGTCGGGAACTTTCACTTCAAATCCCCCCTCTTTAATTTCGGCTTGTGATTTGGGAAGGGAAATATCTGCCTCCACCTTTGGCAGACTGACCTGTACTTGGGGAGCCTTAACTTTGGGAAGTTTAATACTCGGCAGCTTAACATCAGGCATTTTAATTTTCCCCTTCTCACCATCTTTTCCTGCAGAAGTCCCGATTTCCAGTTCAACACTTGGAGCCTGGATTGCAGGTCCTGACACTGTTATCTCTCCTTCTGCCCTAGCTGACGGGATTGCCACCGGGTGCTCTTTGAGGCTTGCTTCAACATCTGCTACTCCACCAGTGGTCTCTTTTGAGGTGGACCAGCCAAATGAAGGCATACTGAATTTTGGCATTTTGAATTTACTTTCTTTTGCTTTAGCATCTTTATCTGTGGCTTTTATTTCACCTTCTATCTTTACTGCTTTAGCTGTTGCTTCTGGGCCCTTAATGTCCACCTCGGCCTTTGGTAGAGAAACGTCTACTGATGGGAGGGTGATGTCCACCTTTGGTGCTTGAATGTCTGCTTTAGGCATTTTGGGCATTTTGAGTGATGGCATTTGTATTTTCCAGCCGGAAGCTTCAGTCTCTACGTCGGGAACATCAGCTTCCACTGCTAGCGTCGGGGTTTCCACGCCGATTGAACCCACTTGGCCTTTGACTTTTGGCTTGGGAATGTCAGCTTCCATTTTGGGTAAGCTGATCTCGCCTTCTGGCACTTTGCCTTTTGGAAGTGAAACTCCAAACTTTGGCTTTTCAAATTTAGGCATTTGAATTTTCCCTTCCAAACCGGCAGCTTTCCCCTCTGGTCCCTCCACCGCAATTTCAACTGATGGCTCTTTCGCTTCTATCCCTGCACCCTTCAGATTTATTGAACCTTCCATTTTAGGAATCTTTACTCCAGGTGCTGAGATTTTGACATCTCTAGGAACAGAGTCTGCTTTCAGGTCAGCTTCTTGAAGACTGACATCACACGTGGGAAGTGTGACATCGACTTTGGGTAAAGTAACATCCACGTCTACTTTGGGAGCTTTGATTTCTGGTTTAGAAAATCCCATCGAAGGCATTTTGACTTTTGGCATGTGTATTTTCATCCCTGTTGCCTCTGCTTTCCCTGTCTCAACTTCCATACTGCTTTCCATGTCGGGAACTTTCACTTCAATTCCCCCCTCTTTAATTTCGGCTTGTGATTTGGGAAGGGTAATATCTGCCTCCACCTTTGGCAGACTGACCTGTACCTGGGAACCCTTGACTTTGGAAAGCTTCACACTCGGCAGCTTAGCATCAGGCATTTTAATTTTCCCCTTCTCACCATCTTTTCCTGCAGAAGTCCCGATTTCCAGTTCAACACTTGGAGCCTGGATTGCAGGTCCTGACACTGTTATCTCTCCTTCGGCCCTAGCTGACGGTATTGTCACGTGGTGCTCTTTGAGGCTTGCGTCAACATCTGCTACTCCACCACTGGTCTCTTTTGAGGTGGACCAGCCAAACGAAGGCATACTGAATTTTGGCATTTTGAATTTACTTTCTTTTGCTTTAGCATCTTTATCTGTGGCTTTTATTTCACCTTCTATCTTTACCGCTTTAGCTGTTGCTTCTGGGCCCTTAATGTCCACCTCGGTCTTTGGTAGTGAAACGTCTACTGATGGGAGGGTGATGTCCACCTTTGGTGCTTGAGTGTCTGCTTTAGGCATTTTGAGTGATGGTATTTGTATTTTCCAGCCAGAAGCTTCAGTCTCTATGTTGGGAACATCAGCTTCCACTGCTAGCGTCAGGGTTTCCATGCCGATTGCACCTAGTTGGCCTTTGACTTTTGGCTTGGGAATGTCAGCTTCCATTTTGGGTAAGCTGATCTCGCTTTCTGGCACTTTGCCTTTTGGAAGTGAAACTCCAAACTTTGGCTTTTCAAATTTAGGCATTTGACTTTTCCCTTCCAAACCGGAAGCTTTCCCCTCTGGTCCCTCCACCACAATTTCAACTGGTGGCTCTTTCGCTTCTATCCCTGGACCCTTCAGCTGTATGGAACCTTCTATTTTAGGAATCTTTACTCCAGGTGCTGAGATTTTGACATCTCCAGGAACAGAGTCTGCTTTCATGTCAGCTTCTTGAAGACTGACATCACTCGTGGGAAGTGTGACATCGACTTTGGGTAAAGTAACATCCATGTCTACTTTGGGAGGTTTGATTTCTGGTTTAGAAAATCCCATGGAAGGCATCTTGACTTTTGGCATGTGTATTTTCATCCCTGTTGCCTCTGTTTTCCCTGTCTCAACTTCAATACTGCTTTCCATGTCAGGAACTTTCACTTCAAGTCCCCCCTCTTCAAGTTTGGCTTGTGATTTGGGAAGGGAAATATCTGCCTCCACCTTTGGCAGACTGACCTGTACCTGGGGAGCCTTGACTTTGGGAAGCTTCACACTCGGCAGCTTAACATCAGGCATTTTAATTTTCCCCTTCTCACCATCTTTTCCTGCAGAAGTCCCGATTTCCAATTCAACACTTGGAGCCTGGATTGCAGGTCCTGACACTGTTATCTCTCCTTCTGCCCTAACTGACGGCATTGTTACCTGGGGCTCTTTGAGGTGTTCTTCAACATCTGCTACTCCATCATTGGTCTCTTTTGTGGTGGACCAGCCAAATAAAGGCATACTGAATTTTGGCATTTTGAACTTACTTTCTTTTCCTTTGGCATCTTTATCTGTGGCTTTTATTTCACCTTCTTTCTTTTCCACTTTAGTTGTTGCTTCTGGGCCCTTAATATCCACTTCGGTCTTCGGTAGAGAAACGTCTACTGATGGGAAGGAGATGTCCACCTTTGGTGCTTGAATGTCTGATTTAGGCAGTTTGGGTATTTTGAGTGATGGCATTTGCATTGTCCAGCCTGAGTTTTCTGTCACAGTATCAATTTGAACTGGTGCTTTTGGGACCTCCATATCAATTTCAAGTCCTTCTATTTTTACTGTTTTCTTGTGCATGTCAGTTTCCACTTTGTGTAATGTGATTTCACTTTCTGGCTGCTTTCCCTTTTTAGTGTAAATTTCAAAGTTTTCTTGTAGATCTGATATTTGCGTCTGATCCTGCTCATATTCTTCATTTATCTCTTTTTCTTGTTTTGTTTTTCCAGTTTCTTTTGTTGTTGTTTTTATTTCTAGACCCTTTATTTGAACCGAAGTGTGTTCTAGGTGATCCCTCATTTCTTTATTTGTTATCTCTTCTCCAGGATGTTGCAGAGAAACTTTTGTGGGTTTTTGTTCTGATGAACTTTTTTGTTTCTTTTTTCTGGTCCTTGGTAGAGCTTGTGGTATTTGTTTGCTTTGTGTGTCTTTGAAACCAGGTGTTTGTATTTCTGAAGTAGGTTTTGATATTTGTGTTGTTATTGGTGGTATTTGTGATGTTGTAGTAGTAGGTTTAGATATTGCTAACTGTTTTTTTTGTTTTTTAATGTTAATTTCAACTTCAGGGTACTTCTTTGTATAAATTGGTAAACCATTTTCCATATCTTTTAAGTCTTTTTTGACATTGTCTTGTATGTCACCTGCTTTTGTTTCATATGCAGAAGATGTGCTATATTGTACAGTTAGTATTTCTGGAGTTTCCATGCTGATATCTTCTTTTCGTATTTTATCCTTTTTTGTTGGTGTCAGGGTTTTTATTTCTAATCTCTGCTTCTCTTCTGTTTCTGCTTTTGTTCTATGCATTTTGAATCCAATATTAGGGAACTTCAGTTTCTTTTGGCTTCCTTTTTTCTCTTTAGCACAGAATTCTTCTTCTTGTAACTGTGACTCAGTGTCAGTGCTTGTTGGGGAAATATCTTGTATAGCATGCTCATGTGCATCTGATGTACTATGAGATCTTCTGTGCCCCAAAATCTTTTTATTTTTCATTGACTGGAATTTGGGCCATGACAATCTCTCTTTTCTGGGTCGTTTTGTTCTTCCCACCCTTTGTTTTACAATTTCCTTTTCCTTGTCTTCTTCTGAAATAATCTTTTCTGAAATTTCCAGTGTTGTTCCAGGAATTTTTTCAGTAAGCTCTTTTTCCTGAAGAAGAGGTTGTTTTTTGTAAATATTAATATAAAATGTGTATAATATTCATCTTGTTTTGTTTAAAATCAACTACTTTTTGGACATATAAACACACTAAAAATTGAGGGTGCACTACAATCCAAAGTTACATGAAATGAAATTAGTATACTAAGTTAATAGATATATATAGCTACCGAAGTCTAGATTCTATATAAAACATGCTGGCTTGTAGTCAACAGCAACTCCTAAATATATTTTATTCAGAGATTATTCAATTTGCAATGTGAGAAATAAGATGCATTTCGATCAGATGGAGACCCATGATTAGATTCTGTTGCGACAGATGTCAGTGACTAAACCAATATTGACTAGAGGTGCTCAAAAGAACAGCTATTTTTCATTGCTATTTTGTATGATGAAAAATTCCAACCATGGCTAATACTGACTTCATTTGGAGCAGGCTCAGATCCCTAGGATACCTCATTGAACTCTAAAACATTGTGATTACAAATATGTTTGTCCTTACTGTTTGATGATTTTATATTTTCTCTATCACTAGTTTATAGTCGAAGAACCAAATCCCTTTTTCACTCTGGACCTGTTCCTTTTCCCATTCAATGTAACGGAAGCTGGGTCAGGCGCTGTCTCCTCCCTTCAAGAAAACTAAACTTCCATCATATTCAATGCAAGTTTAGCTTGATTAAGGACTTAAGTGAAATACTCCCTTGTACACAGGGCTTAATTTGGACTAAAGAGGTGCGTAGTTTTTGTGCTGGCTTTCTGCATAGGAGTGGATTTCACCCTGAGTGAGAACTGCAGGTTTTGTCCGAAAGTATCATAAAGGTAGTAAAGTGAAGCATGTGTGTGTTTGCAGGACAAGGGCCTGTATTTCCCCATCTCCAATGTTACTATATAATGTACATTTGTAGTATTTTCCTATTCTTTCTAACATGATACAGAAATAATTTTACCTGACTTATTTTTTCCTTCTTGTGTTGTGCTGTAGAATGTATTTTTTCTAGCTCTTCTTTCCCAGCAAGTTTTCTTTTGAGACTGAATTGTACTTTGTATGGCTCGGAATATTGTAGAATCTTGAGTGCATCTTCATATTTGATATTATCAAAAAATATTGTGGCACTTAATAGCTGATCACCTGCAAACGGTACCAGACATTTTATTTTAAGATATCAGTTTGCTATATCATGCGGTTTTTCAAATCACATTGTTCTTGATGATCACATAAACATGAAGGGTCATAAACATATGATGATTATATAAAGCATATCATGATTTGTTTTAATATGTATGCTTTGGAGTTTTATTTGTTTAAATAGTATTATTTATTGTATTATTGTGTATTCATACATATAATAGTTCATAAAAGGCTTACTGCATATTGGGCCACATTCTTCATAGATGTAAGTTACTTTTATCTTTGAAATTTAATGAATTAATTGTATCATTTTTTTTTTTAATTACTGACTAGTTCTAGTGAAAAGTAGTGTATTCCATGATTTATAGGAAATCCATATTTCATTATTATTTCAGGTACTGATCCTGCAAACTGCTCATGGGAGTAAAGTTAAACATGTGCACTGGTGTTTGCAGGACGGGGACCTATTTTTGCTAGTATCTGAAAATATGAGTGTGTGTGTGTGTGTGTGTACTTATAAACAAACTTTGTGATTTTATTTTTTTTTTCAAATTTCTAGATAATAGTGTTTTTAAAAAATCCAGAATATCAGACTGTACCTTCTCTCAAACTGAATATTTTCGAAGCAGGGGATCCCTTGAGCACCTGTTTTACAAATATTCCTTCATTTCCTCCACCAGTCACACTAAAACCGCTAGCACCAGATTCCACTTCTGTTTTCAGGGTCACCTCCATAGACTCCTAGATGCCCAGAAAGATGTCATGTTAAAATTCATTGTTAATTCATACCGACCACTTGACACTATATTGAAATCTTCCTCTCACACATAAAATGAGCATCTTCAGAAATACTTATCATATCTCCCTCAAGAAAGATTGCTTAAAAATGGGAACTTATATGTACAATATGGGCAAAGTGCTGAACACCTTCACTCCATTCCAATGGGACTGTGCAAATATTTAAAGTTAAGCACATGCTTAAGTGTTGTATTGGACAGGGGCCAGATTGCTCAGCTCAAGTACTGCTGGGGGAGCAGAAAGACAGAGCCTCAGGAAGGAAGGGCTGGGTCCTCTCTTTAAAGTTCATTTCATTCGCCCCAGTCCCAAGCTGCACAGATGCCGACTTTCCAATGTGCCAGGGGTAGGGTGACCAGGCAGCAAATATGAAAAATCGGGACGGGGGTGGGGGGTAATAGGAGCCTATATAAGAAAAAGATCAAAAAATCGGGACTGTCCCTATAAAATCGGGACATCTGGTCACCCTAGCCGGGGGGTGCTGGATCCCTGGCTCTGCCAGGGCTCCGCCTCCTGCCCCCACTCATCCCTTCCCCCAAGGTCCCACCTCTGCCCTGCCTCTTTCTGCCCTCGTTCCACCCCCACCCCGCTTCTTCCTGCCCCGTTCCATCCCTTCTCCCAAGCGTGCCATGCCCTCGCTCCTTCCCCCCCCCCCCAAGAACCTCCTGCATGCCGTGAAACAGCTGATCGTGGCACGTGAGAGCGTGGAGAGAGAGGGGGAGGTGCTGATCAGCGGGGCCCACCAACGGGCAGGAGGCGCTGGGTGGGTGGGGAGAGCTGATAGGGGGGCTCCCGGTGGGTGCTCAGAACCCACCATTTTTTCCCCATGGGTGCTCCAGCCCCAGAGCACCCACGGAGTCGGTGCCTATGCCAAGCTGGGCCCAGCCCCGAGGGTCTGTCTTCCTGTTCTTCCACCACCACCCTTTGACAGGAGTTTGACCTTCTCCACAGGTCTTTGCTGTTGGTGTCTTTGGGGCAGAGAATATTTTTTTGTTCTGTATTTGTACATCATCTAGCATAGTGCATCCTGGTTCATGACTCGGGCTCCTAGGTACTACGATAAGACAAATAGTAAATAATAATGCACTTTCAGGAATGTGCCAGACATAAGATTGCGTTGGCTCCTCTATATGATTGGTCAGAAGTGAGCAATAGATAAAAATTATATTAATTCATAAATTAATCCTTCTTTTATTGCCATTCAGATCTTCCAGTGTCAGTTTTTGGCCCTGTATTTCCTTGAATGGGCCAGATCCTTGACTTACCCTACCCTTGGGGTAAGTCAGCATTTATATCAGCTGATGATCTGCCTGAGTGAGATTTGAGTGTGTAAAAAATGTAGACTCTTACCTTAAAAAGGCTGTATGTTAAACTTCCCCCAAATAGATAAAATAATGGTAGAGTCTGACAACAACCATACCAAGAAAATTGGCTTTTATGTGTCTCTGTATGGCAGCAATCTATTAGAAATGTGGGAGACCACTCACTCTTCTTAGAACACTGCAATCCTAAGATCAGTGGAGCAAATAAAAGAGAGAGGGGTATCGCAGAAGAATGTGCACCTGTATTCCCAGCAAGGGATTAGAGGGCACATCTGAAAACAAGTGTTGTAGTCTTATTTTCTTTTCTTTATTCTGTGTGTTGATCTCCATCAACTCACGGACTCGCAGTGACAGAATGTACCCCTGTATTCGCACCCTACACACTACATGTACAAAGTATGCCTTGTAAGGTATCATTTGAAAACTCATAATTTTCTGGTCAATATTGTCCTGATAAAATATTGTGTGGCAACATTGTACGTGAAGTTTATAAGATTTCCCTGTATGGTGTACATATTCCAATCCTCACAGCCCTGCCCAAGCAGACGTTGGCAAACAGGTCTGTCCTAAATAAAGGAATACGTGCTCTGCTTAATTTGCATGTAAGCTGTAAACAGAGTATTCAAGGAAGAGAAGACAAAGGAAGTTCAAACAGGTGGAAAAAACAGCAGGGAACATCCTTCCACATAGACTCTTTGTCTCCTAGTGCCAGCTGGAAATGTTTTTCAGGAGAGGGACTGAAACTGTAAAAAGGGCCAATACCCCAATACACCCCTCTCTCTCTCTGCCAATCACATTCTCTGCACCTGAAGCGACAAAGTTGGACTCTGGGAGAGGGGTCCTGATCTACAGGTTTTGGTCAGTAAGACTGCTGAAAACATGTGGTGAGAAACTTTGCTTGACTCTGATATAGTTTGTTAGGCATTAGTAAACATCTTATCTTTATTTTTCTTGTAACCATTTCTGACTTTTATGCTTCAGTGTGTTTAAATTGAAGTGTCTGGGGATAACTCCATTTGGTTCAAGTTGTGTGCATATTGGTCTCATAAAGGAATAATGGACTTAATAAAACTTGTATTGTCCAGGAGAGTGCTGGGCAATACAGGACATTCATTTCTGCGGAAAATCTAAGACGGGGGTTAGGGTGGGAGGTGTGTTGGGGTTACCCTGCAGTATAGTCAAGGCTGGTGAAAACCAGAATGTAACCCACATGTAGCTGGCAGGCTGCAGTTACACACACTCAGGGTGTGGGTGGCAGCTACTTTAGCAAGGCATTGTAAGGCACCCAAGGTTGCAGGGCAGGAGTGATACAGCTGCTCATTAGTCTGGATTGTACCCTGGTGTGTCACACACACCTGTGAAGCTTTTATATTGTAGAAAAAAATGAGCCTAACTGTAAAAAATTGCTCATGGGTTTTTACAGAGGTGTGGCATGCAAGATTATATTCTCTCTCTATCCCACCCCATCAAGGCAGGAGTTTTACATTATAACAAAGTTCTTTCCATTGGGAAGGGGAAAATATCAGTGGTGCATACATTCCCATGATGCAGTAATTTCTTGTGATTTACACAGTATACAATATACAAAAGTATACAATAGAAATCTTATTTATTAAGCAGGTTGCCAAAACTCATCTGAATCCATTGTTCTTTCTCCTCTGTTTACTCTTGCCATATTTGCACTGTCTAATGAAATTTGCTTTCTGTGTAACCATTTAAACTCACCTGTGAATGACTCATTTTTTGTTTGTCTGTAGAATATTTTTCGTTCTCTGTATCTTCTTGTAGCTGGAAAAGCAATTGTAATTATTTAGTGTTCGGCTAAGATAATATTGTAAAGTTCACACAGAGATTATATGGCCTCTGCCTTGCTCAAAACAGGGCTCTTAGCCTATATTTTTGGTGAGAGCTAACGTTCATAATTCACACTGAAGTCTATTACTGTTTTAAAAACCAGTAGCGGATGTCTCCATTAGCGTCTATAATGTTAATTTTCAGCTCAGTGTGTGTGGATTTAACCGCATGATAAGAGCTGTGCAGATTGTTTGCTGGCACTTAAAAAAATAGTTTCCTTTTTTAAAAATTTTTGGTGACTTAAAAAGCCAAAAAAAGCCTAAAAAAAAAAAATCATTTCAGCTCAGTCAAAGCAGATAATACTTCATTTTGTTTTTGAGCATTTTTAACATTTTTAAATATTGTAAATAAAATTAAAAGCCATTTCAAAATGAGAAATCATTTTACAGAATTTTTTTTACAACCAAAACGTTTAGATGAAACCGACAAGAATTCCCAAATATTTTGATTTCATATTTTTTCGACGGAACAAACTGTATATCAGTCACGCTGTGGATTCATCATGTTTGTTTAAACATGCATGTCTGAGGTACAAAAAAATGGGATAGCCGAACCGTTTTGTCTGGGACAGCTACCTCAAAAAAGGGACAATCCTGGGAAACCCTGGACAGGGCGCAACCCTACTGGTTGTGTGTATAACCCCACAATGAGCAAGAAGGATTTCATGAGAGCCTGTGGGGTCAATCAGCTCCGCCTCACTACACCAGTAGTAGCTGTCAAACTTAGAGGGAGGAGCTAAAACCTCAGTGGGGTACTGACCAGGAAGGAGAGCAGATATCTGGCTCTGATTCAGGGGCAGAAGACTGGCTGCATCCAGGTATCTGTGTTGGCCTGCTGGCAGATAGAGCCTCCCTGAAGGAAGGCACGCCAGCCTGCAACTGAGAGTACAAGGCAGTTGTGAAGGCAAGATGGAGAAAGTGAGTTTCCCAGGATTCTGCATGCTGGTGGAGGGACAGGAAAACTCCCACAGGGTCAGGGACTGCCCTGCTAGGGAAGTAGAGAAACTCTCCTGCAGCAAAGCCACATGAGTGGCAGAAAGTGCTAAAGACTCTGCAGTGAGCTTGTGAAAGGGGTACGTAGAGAGAGAGAGAGGCTGATAGACAATGAGCCTTGGACAAGGCTGTGGGAAAGGCTCAAGACAGGTGGAGGAAGGAAGTGGTCCAAGGAGGCAGCAAGGGGTCTGTGTAGACACACCTTGGCTGCTTATTAAAGGGTGCCTGGGCTGGAACCCAGAGGTGAGGGAAGGTCGAGGAAGTTGTTTCCTGATACTCTCCACCCCACCTCCAATCAGGAAAGAATTAGGAAAAAATCCTTGAATGCTTTACATTTTCATATAGAAAACCAAATATTTTCTTAATATATTACTGATCGTGCTTTTTCTTCACAATGAAATGTCAGCTGAATCCTGAAACTCTCCTGCCCATAAATACAAGTAATTATGCACTGTTTGGTAAACTAAAACAGCTATGAAAGGATTGAGAAGGTGAGGGTGTGGATTTCAAAGTACTTTTTATACATGTCCAAATTCTAGTCCTACAGAAGTCAATGGGATTTTTGCTAATAAGCCCCAAAAGATGAGAATTTGGCCAAAAATGTATTGAGTGTAACATGAAAACCTTATGTATGTCTTGCCTTTTTGTTAAAATATTCTTCTTCTATGGAATACTCATAAACTGGAGAGGATCCTTGTGGCCTTGGCCGTATGTTTTCTATTGTCACTTCATTGACCTGCAGGAAAGAAATGAGGGGAAATAATGGTCAACATTTAGCAACAGTAATTCCTATTGGTCGGGAGGCAATGAATATAATATAAAATTCCTCTCTGTGCAAGCCTGATACCAGTCACAGTGGCTGCAGAATGGCCATTCGTTATTTTCTTTTGGGGCAAACATAATTCCCATTTAAGAATTTGATATAAACAACAGAGGATATAGTCCTTGGAAACAGAAATGATGCTTTCACAATGTCTTTCTTAACTAAGGATACATTTGAAATACAGTAAAAAGCAACAGAGGGTCCTGTGGCACCTTTAAGACTAACAGAAGTATTGGGAGCATATAGGGTTACCATTCGTCCGGATTTACCCGGACATGTCCTCCTTTTGTGTGCTAAAAATAGCGTCCGGGGGGAATTTGTAAAGCACTCACAATGTCCGGGATTTCCCCCTCCCCCGGCAGAGCAGAGCGAGCGGCTGGGAGGGCGTGCAGGAAAGTCCCGGGCTGGACTCCTGAGCAGCTTCTTCCTCCCACCCCCCCCCCCCCCCCCTCCCTGCATCCTGAGCCGGCCGGCAGCTCCTCCTCCTGCAGCCCGCTCCGGCAACCCGGTGCA